ATGCTGGCCAGCTGCCAAAAAAAAAAAAAAAAAAAAAGACAATGTAAAAAACAAGGCAAAAACCCAAACAGCAGCATGGCACATAAATTAGGAGCTTAATTATAGTATCTCTTCTGCATCATCTCTTTTTGTTCCTTACAGTATGAAATACAAAGTAGCACCAAAGATCTTGTGTCTCCTCATTTATTCGTCTTTCTAGACTATTCCAGCCACCAAAGTTTTCAGTAGGAGCTGTGATTTAAGTCCTCCCGTGAGGCTGGAGCACCTGGGTTTGAAATAACCTATCCATGATTGAATGAATGAGTTTATTCATTCATGACTCAGTGATTCACTCCTGCTGTATGTAGCCAGCCCTTGTAGTCCACATCTGTGGTTGACTGAATCTGCAGACTCAGAACCTGTGGATATGGAGGGCTGCCTGTAAGGGATGTGAGCATCCATGAATTTGGTATCTGGGAGGTCCTGGAACCAATCCCCCGTGGATACCAAGGGATGACTGTATTTTACTGTTTTCTTTCTATAGCAAATGCATCTCTAGTCCTGTGGGTGGGATGTTGGATTTGTTAAAAAATTGTTCAGTGACACTTGTTAAAACAAGGTAAGGAAGACTATTCAGGACCATCGTGACAGGTCCAGGGATCACTGTACTGGGATCTTGCAGTGGGGGAGAGAAATTGGGCTCAATTCTGAATACCTCATGGGCAAGTGGAAATTTATAGCCAAAGAGCAACGTGGGGGTCAGTGGATGGAAAATTACTAAGAAGAAATATCAGGGCTAAGGAGCATTCTAGATAAACTGACAGTAATAGTCCGTTTTGCGTTACTATAACAAACATCTGAGACTGGGTAATTTATGAAGATCAAAGGTTTATTTGGCTTACGATTCTGGGACAGCTGCATTTGGCACAGGCCTCAGGCTGCTTCTACTCATGGTGGAAAGTGGCGGCAACCAGTGGGTACAAGCAGATCACATGGCGAGAGGAAGCAAGAGAAAGAGAGGAGGTGCCAGGGTCTTTTAAACAACCAGCTCTTGTGAACTAATAGAGTGAGAACTCACTCACTACCCCTCCTCCCCCAGGGAGAGTATTAATCCATTCATGAGGGATCCGCCCCCATGACTCAAACAGCTTCCAGCACTGCCACATTGGGGATCAGATTTCCCCATGAGTTCTGGCGGGGACAGCACATCCAAACTCTATCACTGACCTAATAGGATTTTTGGCTGAAGAAGGGCCAGAGTGATCAGACATCACCTGGGGATGGTGGAGGATGGGGAACCTGGTCAGATACCAAGAGTGATCAAATATTGAGGGTAGGGAGTTCTTGCTAAACTGACCTAACAGTTCTTTTTCTAAGACTGGATTTTATAAGGAAGTGCACAGATGGGTCTATGAGAAGGTTCGTGAGCCTGAAAAAAGTGTGGCCAAGCAAAGAGTCTTTGTCATGCAGGTTCCTCTGTGCATGTTGGAGAGGGCCAGGTTGGTGTGCTTCTGACCTGGGTATCTGGAGGGGCTGGAGTGGACAAATGCCCACCACAGAGCTTTTCTTTGAGGCAAGTGGGCAGGAGGGGCTCCTAGGCTTTGACTCCTTTAAGGGTCTAGTGGTCTGGGCTTGGAGTGCACTTGAGGGGATCTTTTTTGGCCTGTGGGTTTGTCACCTGGGAGGTGGTGCTGGAGACTCAGGCCTGGGCTGTGTCTGGGAGCTGTCTGGTTGGCACATAGGCAGTTCTGACAGGTGCTGACCCATGTCCTTAGCCTTAGACACTGCCACTTGCAGGATTCACTGGTCTCACGTGAGCCTGCGCTTCCTCATGCACCCTCTCTTGTACACTCTCACTGATACCTCCTCTTCCAGCCACATGCTCTGGAGTTTCCTGCCAACATGCAGCTGTAGACATTAACATGGCCCACTGTTTCTCACAGAGAC